GAAACTAGGGTACTTGTGTTTACTTTCCGCTGTATTTCTATTTCCAATAAACTACATATTTGCTCCAAATTATTGAAATATCAATATTTTGATGAGATAATCCATTCTAGAAGATGCAAACTGGTATTGGAGATATTGATATTTTAGTATCGATCCGCACATCACTACCGTCAATGTCACCGACTCGGTCCCAGTCATTCCTCTCGCTGGCCAGCAGAGGCCACCATCTCCGGACTTCTAACATTACGTCATCCCTTCACTCTGATTCCAGCACACCTGTTCTCCATTCCACTAATGACCCACGTACCACATATAAGCAGCTCACACTCACTCCCCAGTGCGAAGTCTTGTTTAGCCCCGGCCAGCATTTCTGAGCGTTCTATCCTGCCTGATCTCCCGTTTACCACTTCAGCCCGTTTCCCGACTCTGCTCTGTCTTCTGCCTGCCCACGACCAAAGCCTGTTTACTCGGACTCTGATTCTCGCCGCCTGCCCCTGACTAAAGCCTGTTACACGGACTCTGAATCACGCTGCCTGCCTCTGACCCATGCCTGGTAATCACTCTGTGTCTGTCATCTGCAACCTCCTCTCATTGATGTGTATGTTGTATGTTCGCTTAGCCGTCCGTGTTGTTGATGTTAGAGTGTGACTTAATAAATTCTGCAAATGGATCCCTCCGTGTCAGTCTCCCCGTTACAGACGACATACAGCAACAAGCAGAGGGCACTCTACAGTTTGACAAATATTGCTGCTGTTGGGCAACATAATATACTTTTGAGGCTTTTTTAGTCGAGAATGTTGTTGTTTAGATTGCAACTATGCAGTTTATTTATAAGGATAGTGCCTATTTTAAAATATTTATAATTAGTGAGAGACAGCCATTAGCCTGTCTTTAAGCAAAGATGGTTGACAATGTTCATCCACAAGGTGGCAATAGAGACTGTATAATAAGCCTTAAGAGAAAAACTGTGTAATTTTAAACTACAGCTGATTAAATCGTTATTAAACGGGTAAATGACTTTGAGTCTATCTCTTTCTTTTCAATGTCGTAGTGCTGTATTTATACCATAGTAATATTGTGATCTCCCAATTGGAACAGAGAAATACTGGGAAATCTCTGTAGACTGATGGCATTTCATCTTTATATGTGAGCAAAGTCACCAGTTTTGTCATCGCTTTAGACATTACGCTAGAGAATCATTCAATACAATAGCTGTAAAGTGACGTTGGTGAAGTAGCAACAGTTTCTGCTATTCTGATGTCAGCTGCAGATGCAGAAAAAAGTAGTTCCTCATACAAAAGGGCTTTTAGGCTTTCCGTGATTGATAAAAAAATAATAATAATAAAAAAAAAATATATATATATATATATACACATACTTGATTATGCCGTCTGTTGTATAAACACAATGTCACACTCGCATCAGTGCGATGTGGCTGTATATCCTCACTGGTAGAATGCTAAGCCAACTTACACCTCCCACCAGTGCCAATATCCAGCCACATTGCCCTGCTACGAGTGTGATAGTGCTTATGTGAACATTGTTTTTTTATGAGGGCATGCACAGGGGATAACGGGGCGTTGGATAGCGGAGGAGTGTCGTGTAAGTTAAGAGCCGGGGCAGGGGTTTGTTGTCGCGGACGAAAGTGAAGAAGGTTAGGGAGTCATGGAACAAAGTGAACGGGGGAGGAGGGCAGGTGAGGAGTGGGATCAGTAAAATGAGGTGCCGGATCTGATTTCAGAAGTGCTGGATCCGGCATGTTCCGGCACAAATTAAGCCCTGTATTTGTCCATGATTAATGTCCAATAGCCAGAAAGTAATACATTTTTTATAAATTGTTCAAATGTTGGTATTTGTGAGCAAGTCCAGAGACATTTGTGTACACTATGATTAAATATAAAATTCACTTTAATGTGTGATATGACACACAAAAAGTGGCCATAAACAAATATTTTCTCAATTCAAATGAGTTGTGGCTTCAACTGGTTTTTTTGTTGCCTCCTACAGGCAGTTTAAAGGCTCCTACACACCGGGACGCTTTTCGTTTGCGTTTATCGTCAGCATTTTACGAGATGTTTTTCCGTATTCAAACCCAAGCGATTTTCACTGGCATCAAGCAGAAGAGGATGCAAAATCACTCTTTGACGTTAGATGGCGCTACTCAGTTTTAAGCTTCTGACACCCGCTAATAAAACAGAAAAGGATTAGGAGAGGAAGTTCACGCGCTTGTTGTTAAAGTTACTGGTGACTCGAACAAGCATGGATGGTTCAAGCAGCAGCTCCAGCTGTGGCGATGAAGAAATGATTAGTGTTCAGTAGAGCAATAAGCAGCTAAAAGTTCATATCGTCTCTGGGCGTCTTCTTCAATGTGCGCTCGCATTAACAGTTTTGCGCTTGAGCGCCTCCAAGTGTTGTTTACTGTAACTTCAGCAGCTTCGTGCACGTGAGTAAGAGTGCAGATCTGATTGGTGGAGAAGGTTTTGACCGGCACGTCAAAACAAAAACGAGCGTGTGGCGTTTTTTTTTTTTAAATGACGCTTTTGCGCCTGCCGTTTTGCGCGTTGGTGTGCACAATCACATTGACGCCCTTTATTTAGTCACGAGGCGTTAAACGGCGATGGAAAACGCGAGCAAAAAACGTCTCGGTGTGCACGGGCCTTAAGGGTCATGTTTATTAATCCAGGCCTAAACCAACCAAATCCAGCACCTTCAGCAAAACATCCCATAATAATCCAAATGACAGTGATTTTACAGTTTAAGACTGATCCTTAAAGGACTTCAGAAGAATCTCTATTATTCATTAGCAGATGAAATCAGAGCGGCCTGCGGGCGGTCCGACAGTCCCACTCATCACAGAAACAGTCGATCCGCTGGGCTTCAGTGCGGCGCTCCCTCCACAACCTGTAGGCGACCCTCAGACTCACTGAGATTAAATCACAATTATTGGACTTCTTTGCCTAGTACTTATCACAGCCCTGCAGGGCCGCGCAATAACCAGAGCCACAGCACAGAGCCTCCGTAATCGGCAAAGCTGACGGTGAAATTAATGGATACGCTCGCCTGCTTTTGCATAAAGAGAGGTAAATATTTAGGAATATCAGCTGAAAGGTAATGCAAGTCGAAGCGTCCTAATGTACAGGCTTCAAAAAGACAGAAATGTGTTCGGTCGCCGGCGCAGTGTTTATGTAGCATCAAAGCGTGAGGGTGAAGAGGGCAGGACGGCCATTTCTCCCCTGACGGAAAGCTCCGGTTCTCGGCTTTCTAGAACATTCCTCTTCAGGAACATGAGAGAAGGCATGCTGAGAGACGCAGGACACGCATTACTCCGTCATGAGCCAGACACTGAGGCATAATTGAACATGAAGGTGCTCATAGTGGAAATTTGACAACTGCATCTGGAGCTAATTTGAAAAAGAAACCGGCATTTGAAATCAGCATGAAATCTAAATTGACAGCTCTGTGTGTATGGCGAATTGTAGCATTGATCATAATTGGTTTATCTGTGCAAAAGCATTATTTTAGGAATGTCTTTGTAGTTTGTAATCAAATTAGCTTCTCCTCCCATTTAATAATATATATCAATTATGATTGGTGTTTACTGGTAAGAGGGCGGAGTCAAGCTGCCAATCACAGAAGATCCACCAATAGCAAATAACCATGTAAAACAACCACTATTAACTATTGAATATTAATAGATTTATTGAGAGGCTATTTTACTCAAATTATGTCACTATTTGGATGAAAATATTACATTTTTTTACTTTTATTCTGGCTTTTAGCTTCACACCACTTAATGCTGGCTTTTTCCGGTTTTTATGTGTGTGTTTGTGTCTAACTGTGTGTATATACACAGTTGAAGTCAGAATTATTCGCCCCCCTGTTTATTTTTTTTCCTCAATTTCTGTTTAACAGAGAGCAGATTTTTTTTTCAACAAATTTCTAAACAATAGTTTTAATAACTCATCTCTAATAGCTGATTTATTTAATCTTTGTCTAGATGACAGTAAATAATATTTTTCAAGACACTTCTATACAGCTTAAAGTGACATTTAAAGGCTTAACTAGGTTAATTAGGTTAGGTTGGGGTAATTAGGCAAGTTATTGTATAATGATGATTTGTTCTGTAGACTATCGAAAAAAAATAGCTTAAAGAAGCGAATAATATTGTCCTTAAAATGGTGTTTAAAAATTAAAAACTGCTTTTATTCTAGCCGAAATAAAACAAATATGACTTTTTCCAGAAGACAAAATATTATCAGACATCCTGTGAACATTTCCTTGCTCTGTTAAACATCATTTGAAAAATATTTAGATAAGAAAACAAAACTCACAAGCGGGCTAATAATTCTGACTTCAGCTATATAAAGTTATCTTAACCTAAATCTTGAAATTTCCTCAAACACGCGGTCTTTTTCCATCATAAATGTATCTCTTGTTTCCCCCATTATTTAAGCATTAACTATGAGGTGTAATTCAGAATAGGCATACATTAAAAAGCACACGTATGCTTATCTTTTTTTTCATAATTAAAAAATGCACACCACCAGTTCCCATTTCTCATTCAACAGTTTGTTTTTGAGCAGACTTGCGTGGTAAGAGAAATTCTGCTTTATAATCAAACTATTTTTTGCTTCGGTCAATACAAGACAACAGGACTAACCTTTTCATGTTGCCCATCATGCATAAATCATTCTGACAGCTGGGAGACGATGCAGAAATCACCGGAACACACACAGCTGATCAATGCATTACATCAGTATGCACCAACAACACCACTACTAAACACAATCAATCAACCTCTCATATATCGAAGATCGCAAACTGAACGCCGCGTAATATATCTGTGAAGTTATCCGAAGCAACCTGTAGACTCCGTTCGGCGCACGCATCTGCCCCTCGAAGTTTGCGAGCGGAAAATGCACATTTCCACGGTGTGTGCGATGCATAACGATCGCATGCTCAGTACAGTCTAGCAGCTGCACGACTGAATGCACACTCACCTCAGCGGCGTGTCGATGAACGCGAAAACTCGATCCAAAGGTGTTTGGGTAGATGGACGCGCCGCGCGTCTCCGCTTCATCGCTTCAGACTCTCCAGTCATCGCTGTGGAAACAGATTCAGCGAGTCAAGTGCAGTTGTGTGTTTCTCACACACATCTGAGCGGAAGGGACCTCAGGACAGCAGTGTTTTACTCTCAGAGGAGGTGACAGTGGGTGAGTCATGGCTCCTCGCGCTCCGCTCCGCCGCGCCGCCTTTTTACGCACAAACTTTGGTGCCGCTGCGCTCCGGGCTCGTGGATGTGGACGTGGCTATTGGCCAGCGATGGCACATCATCTCAAACAAGAGTGAATCAGCTGCTGACGCGTTTTCTGGTTAAAATAGCCCTTAGACGTCTAGTGAGTGGAAATAGACATGAGAAGGGTGGTTACCCAAAAAGCGTGTTTGTGTAAACTTCACACGGTTCTTGACCTGTGGACCCGAGCGACAAACACAACACTCACTAGTTTGAGTCTTGTTTAATCCAAAATAAGCTCGAGCTTATTTATCTTCAGTAAAGTTTGCTTGTCGTCATATCAGCATCGGATATTTCATTTTACGATAAATATTACGTGGAGATACTTGAAGTCAGAATTATTAGCCCCCCTAAATTATTAGCCCCCTGTTTATTTTTACCCAATTTCTGTTTAACAGAGAGATTTTTTTCAACACGTTTCTAAACATAATAGTTTTAATAACTCATCTCTAATAACTGACTTATCTTTGCCATGATGACAGTAAATAATATTTGACTAGATATTTTGCAAGACACTTCTATACAGCTTAAATTGGCTTTTAAAGGCTTAATTGGGTTAAATAGGTTAACTAGGTTAGGGTAATTAGGCAAGTTATTGTATGACGATGGTTTGTAACAAAAATTAGTTTAATGGGGCTAATAATACTGACCTTAAAATGTTTATTAAAAAATTAAAAACGCTTTTATTCTAGCCAAAATAAAACAAAGACGACTTTTTCCAGAAGAAAAAATATTATCAGACATACTGTGAAAATTTCCTTGCTCTGTTAATCCTCCTTTGGGAAATATTTAAAAAAGAAAACAAAAATTCAAAGAGGGACTAATAATTCTGACTTCGACTGTATGTGTGCGTTTGTGTGTATGTGTGTATCCATATATATATATATATATATATATATATATATATA